CCTTTCACAGGGGTCGCCTAAGACCATCGGAAAACAAAAAGATATTTACATTACGATTCATAACAGCAGCAAAATTACAATTATAGAGTAGCAACGAAAATAATTTTATGGTTGGGGGTCACCACAACATGAGGAACTGTATTAAGGGGTTGTGGCATTAGGAAGGTTGAGAACCGCTGCTATATACACTGTTTTGTCCTAGATGTATATGCCTATGATAAAGTTTCATTTATAAATTAGACACAGAGGTTAATAACAATAATTAATAATAAAATAGAACAATTATAATATACTGTAATAAAAGTTATATGAATGTGGTCTCTCTCCCTCAAAATACCTTATTATGCTGTACTCACCTTTTCACTTAAAGGAAGCACTCTGTGGCTTCCCTTTGGCACATCTGAATTCCCAGCATTACTAGTCTTGCACTTTGGACCGTTATTAAGTAAAATAAGGGTTAAACACAAGCAAAGCAATACTGTGACAGTCGATCTTATAACCGAGAAGGCTACTAAGTGGCTGATGGGCACGGAGCGTTTACAGCATGGAGACACCAGACAAAGGGAATGATTCACGTCCTGAGAGGGACAGAGTGGGACAGCTCGAGATTTCATCGCACTACTTAGAATGACTCACAATTTAAAACTTATGACTTGTTTATTTCTGGAATTTTTATTGACTGTTTTTGGACCATGGCTGACTGCAGGTAACTGAAAGCACAGAAAGTGAAACCGTGGGTGAGGGGGTGAGGGGGCTGCTGTATAGTAAAATTGCTGACTAAAAATAGAGGAAACCTTTAAAGCAGCCAGGAAGACATGCCATCTTCAAAGCAGCAACAATAAGACGGACAGCAAGTATGGAGGGCAGAAAACAATGGAATACCATCCTCAGAGGGCTAAGAGAAATGACTGCAAACCTGTAATACTACACCCAGTAAAAACGTCCTTCAAAAACGGGACACACCAAGAAATTTTCTGAGAAACAAAACCTGGCCGAATCCATCACCAGTAAACTTACAACAAATGCAGTACTGGACAGAAGGCGCTCTCCAGGATCTCTGGCTGTTCTGCTCAATGTTGAATCCTCAGCACCTACAACATAGCCCAGCACAGAGGACAACCGTCAACAGTCATTGACAACCGTACACGAACAAAACACGCCCCAGGTTACAAACCCTGCCGCAATGAATAACGTTGACTCTTTCCTACAAAACCATGTCTGTCTGCCCGGCTATCAAACCACGTTTCTCTCCAGCTCTGCGACACAGCTGGTGCTCGGCGCAGAGCCTTGAAACCCAGGCTAAGCCTTTGCTCCAGGGCACCGAGCCCAGCCCCCTGCCCGCCACGTGAACGTCACGACCCGGCCCCGAGAGGTGAGCTCGAGCCCACGTCCACATCCAGGGCCCGCTCACCGCACGCGCCCGTCGGCGCATCAGTCCCAGCGCAGCCCGGTGGGACGCGGTGAGGGCCGCGGCTCCGCCACGCCGCCACGTGGGTACGCCGGGATCCGCCACCCGGCTACTTAGAGCCGGCGCCCGCCCCACGCGAGGTCCGGGCCGTCCGCAGGTCCGCCCACCAGGCCCCGCCCCCGCCGACCAGGCCCCGCCCCTCGGCTGGCACCGCCCCGGCAGACCGCGCCCGCCAGGCCCGCCCCATCCTCCTGTCAGAGGGGCCGTCTCCCTCCGGGTTACGGGCCGGCGCAGTTCGCCGCCGCCTCGTCAGTCACTCCCGCAGTCCGACAGCCCGCGGGCCAGTCCGACAGCCGGCCAGCCTGGGGTCAGCCCTTACCAGCGCCGGCTTCGGTCGGGCCGCCTGCGGACGCGCGCCAGGTACCACTGCGGCCCTGCGGCCCCCGCGAGAGGGGCGCTCGCGAGGCGGGGCGGGGGCGGTGGGCG